TCTAAGCATTGATAGTGTGATTTCTGTAACTTACAGTTGTGATGAGATAGTGATAACTTCAACCTCAGTTGGGGTCCACAGTCATTGACTCAATCAGAATGATATCTTGCAGATCTTGTGAAGTTTATTCCATAAACTGAGAGAATTTTACAACAATAAACATTCGATAGGTCGAAAGAACATACTATTTCTGCTTCTTGCCATGAGGCTGTTGCAATGCATCTCTGGGAAGGGGGGAGGGCTATCTATGCAGCATTAGCTAAACTAAAGGAAAGGGAGGAGCAGAGAAAAAACACTGAAAACATTTAAAGGCATATGACAGTCATGTGAAACATGATATTCCATCTTTTTCAAATTTGTGCATTGTTTACATACTGATCATAAATAGTGAGGGTGAGGAATGTGTGCTTGAAGGCTTGAAAAAGAGACTGTTGTCTTGAAATATTGTTCATGGAGGAGATTTTTATTGCTGCTAAGCTTTTTCTGTTTCAGTATTTTTATTAAGAAAGTTTTGTTTTGTTTTAAGAATGCTGCTAAGCTTTTAATCATGTACCAATAAAAGTGCTATTTTACGTCAAAAGTCCTGTGTGTTAATCATGATTTGCTGAATCACCCAATCAGCACATCTGCAGCTGTAACTGAAAAAAAAGAAGCATAGTGACAGCTGAAGCCGGCAGGTTGCAGTGTCACAATGCAACTGTCTGTAAAATTATATAATTAAACTCATTTTAAAAAGTTAAACATTTTGATTATACCATTATGTGCAAACTGCACTTTTTTACATTTTAGTTCAATTATCAGCTTATAATTAAAAAAAATGAACAAGGTATTTATTCAAACATTATACCAAATTATTACCATATATGTGCTAATAAAAAGTAAAAAGCTTTTAGGTAGCCATATAGTAATTGTCAAGTTACCAATGCACACTGGCACTGATAAATTTGTTCTGGGCATCTAGATTTCAACATTTTGGTCGTGAAAGGAATAAGTAAGTATGCCATATTTAATATCATATAATTGTTTTTAAGTAAGATTTTCCCCAACAAATTTCGACAAAAACTTTACATAAACTTCTGTCATGATTAAAATATTCCTGCTGACCTGTCCTGAACATCTGTAAGTTTCAATTTTACTAATTCTCCAATTAGACATACAGATTTTTTCATCCATTGTTAGATAATGATCGTGTTCATTTTGTGTCTAGTGCTTGTAGCGCTACAGGATCTTCCTTTTTTTCCTGATGAGTCTGAGCGTCTTTGCAGAACTGGCATCTATTGTCTGTTATATGACAGACTCTATTGTTTTGCTTTTTAGAACGGTTGTGACAAATTGTTCCATCCCATAGACAAGGAATGTGGATGAGTCAAACAAGAGCTTGTCACTCACTTTGCTTTGTGTAGGTGGTCTGCTTCATCTTGTGAAAACATTTAACACTTTTCAAGCTAGCAAAAGCTTATTTGATAAGATGACACAGAAATGATGGTGCACAAAGGGTGTTAGCCCAACTGGCTTTCACATATTGCAAGTAAAACTCCATCATTAATTTCCATTAAAATAATTCATATCTGTTTCCAGTGTGTGTATATTTCATTTAAATAAACACCATTAAGTGGTATATTTTTCAATATCAGAAGACCATCTCATATTCTTTTGTTAAGGCGAACATTACTTTTTTCATTATGCATAATAAAAAAGGTATTATGATGTGCACAGATTCCTAAAAACCAAGTTACTTTGTGCTTTAAATGAGCCTGTCAATCCAGGCTCAACACATGAGGAAACTGGGGTCACAATATATCTTATCAAAGTAATGTAATCACAATACTTATAACACAATTTTAAATTGACTTGTTAGTGGTTCTGATGTATCCTGGAGCCTGCTCACCTATAGGCTGCTGGTCCAATCAGCTGCTACTAGTCTGCTGTAGTCATATATAACAAACGGGGCAGGGATTCTGGTGATACCATTGACATAGTATGGTCATGACATAATATATGTCAATAATACATAATATACATAATATGGTCAATTATAAATTGACTTGTTAGTGGTTTTGATGTATCCTGGAGCTTGCTCACCTACAGGCTCCTGGTCCAATCAGCTGCTGTCAGGGAATTCCCTGCCCTGTAGTCGTACCTAACAGACGGGGCAGGGATTCTGGTGATACAATTGACATAATATGGTCATAATTTTATTGGCCAAAAATGACCTTAGGGCTTATTTTGTCGATAATGTCACCAGCATTCAAGCCATTTTGTTTCATTCAATTGTAGAACAAGGCATTCCTCGACCTCCGCTGATTGGGCCAGCAACCTACTATTCTGCTTGTGAGAGCGCTCTTTTTATAGGTGCCTCTCCAGTGGGATGTAATGATGTCAATCCCGAAAAACTTAAGAGAGGAGGGATCTCTTTTATGATACTGCCTATAGTGTCTAGAAAGAGAGCGCTCCTTAAAGCCTCTTTTGATGTTATATACATGTTCTTGTAGGCGGTCCCCGAGTCTACTAGTTGTACGCCCCACATATTGCTTCCAACAGGGGCACTCCAGCATGTATATGACAAATCAGCTGTTGCATGATATAAAACTGCATGCCGACACGTATGTAATGTGCATGCGCGGCGTGCGGCAAGATGGCGCATATGCACTGCGCATGCACGGCCGAGTGAATTATCATTAGCACTATAAATAGACATGACGCACGGCACTGGCGTGATGGCCATCCTTTCTGGAAGAAGTGCTTTTGCACAAAACGCATTAAAGGAGCCATTACGCCATGACGTCTCGCCACCGGCACCTAGCATAGGTCCGGCGGCCATCATTTATTTGTGAATGGTCAGTATACCATTTCCTTGTTCACCTATGTGTTTTTATCTTCAAACCATGTGGATTATCAAATAAATTATTTAAAATTACTACATTATGGGCCATTTTTTGGTTGGCTCCTTGGCGAGCTAACATTCATTTATAGAGCCCATCCTAGAAGATAAAGGAGCAGAATCTTATGTGGCACCATTCCAGAGGAGGGAGCTGTTCCAATACTAGCTGACAAGCATCCACCCATCCATTAAGGAGGCCTCTGGCTGGTTCTATTCGCACACACTAAGGGAGATGTCTCTGTAGCTGCATACCACCCAGAGGGAGGAGAGTCCATTAAAATGGCCAAACTCATCCATCTCATCCTGAGGGGTATTTAAAGATGCGCATCTGGTCAGCGCATATTTTTACTATCATTTATTGGCACACCACTGAAGTTTGAAGTCACCATCAACTCCTGTATCAAGCACCTTATCATGAACTGTCACTATTTTATAATTCTATACCGTTATATTTTATCCATTTTGAAATAACTTTTTAAGCGCTGCACTTACAGTATATATATTTTAACTATGTCAATACACTCAGCTCAGTGCTTGCAGTTATTTCTCTATCTGCCCATTTCTGGCCTAAAATCATTGTAGGGTGCCAGCTGTTGGCATGTAATATTCTCATGAGAAAGCATAGATTTCCCAAAAAAGTAAAATAAAATAAAGCTGAATATCTCTCTGTGCTTTCCTGGAAAAAATGGCTTGTTGCTGATCAAACTTTGCAGCATGGCACTCTCCAGCCCTAGTCTATGGCAATAGAAACATTAGATGTGATTGATTTGGCAATCACTATTCCAGTTTATCAAATTCACAGCTTCTCACTCATGGCAAGTAGCAGTGGCACCAGGCCCTTGTCCTTTGTTAAGGCATTATTAGTTTTGGTCATGAGATTTTACTCTTTTCATCCAATTCTTCAGCATTGTCTACCTTGATCTTAACATGTCAAAGCCATTGCAGTTTGGATTTTTAATGTTCTGTATTACTGTAGCACTACTCTCTTGAGGGCTGCTAGATTTTATGGGTCCCTCTAAGCTCTACACGGCCAGGCAACACGCATTTTCCACAGTTTCAAGCACACAGTCAGTCTTTGAGCTTATAATATATGTGAATTTTACGGTATCCCTTAAATCATTCAATACAATAAGGCTATAAATAGCATAAAGATACACTTTCCCCCAAAAAGTGTAAAAAACTGTGAATATGAATATGCGAATACCAATATTCCCAAAAGTATATATCACACAAACTCTGAGAGGTTTGGATATTCTGATAAAGACTATTTTAAAGAGGAATCATGATGTAAGCATATTCAATAAAGTATTTTAAATTGTATATGCGGCTTTACACTATGATTTATTCTATATATGGTGGGCATTGGTGGAGATTGATGGTTATACTTGAAAGCTGCTATATCTGGATGACATCTTGATCTGATCCATGAGGCTGTGATAATCCTTGGGTTGAAGCAGAATTTGTGTTAATACCCTCGCCGGGTGGTGTAAAGGTATTTACATAATTTTGGTAAGGGTATTCACTCCTTACACCATAGATGTGGACACAGTGTTTCACAGGTTGTTTTTGAAAGCATATTTTTCACTGGATTGATTCACTGGCACTGTTTTGACACTTTTTAATTTTTTTCACTACAGTATTTGTGATCACGCATGGTTGTTTGCATTTATCACATCTGTTTTATTTAAATTTTACTTAAGATAATGCACTATGTGATTTTTTTTTTTATGTTGAGGTTTCTTTGTGAGCCATTGAAAGGCTGAATATGAAGATTTATAAAACTAGAAATGATGTAGCGCTAAACCAAAAACGATCATATCAGGCCCATAAACAATCTGACATCATGATAAGATCATATATATATATATAGAAAGAACAAATTAGTGCGTGATGAAACTGAAAAAAATAAGATGAAACAAATGTGCAACCCCTGCACACAGTGCACATAAATAAAATGAAAGTCCAGTGATCCTGTGTCAATTGCCTCCACTCATACAGAATCCATGGACTGTGTGTGGACCCGCACACCACCAAGTGCAATCCAAAAACGGCTGGAATGGCCTCTCACCTCCTCCCTGCGACCCTGCAGGGCCACAGAGCTTTATATATCCCCACTGTGTCAGGATGAGCTTCCTCTTGAGTGGATGGCTTCAATGATGTGTCCCCAGTATACTGCTTCCACCTCTCCTATGATATCCTCAGGGGTCAGCTGAGCAGGGTGGATCCCAGCACAATGTGACTGGAATACTTGGGGCTTCACTACCTGATTGCAGACATTACAAACCACTAGATAGAAATCATCATGAGCTGGGTAATGTCTAAATAAGTGCATGTCCTCTTTATTTAGCCTCATAACCTCCCTGCTTTTTCCACCGTCTTTTCCAGTCTCTTCTAAATCTACATTGTGGGAGCAGTGTATTTTAGCGGCGTCGATCCAAGTGGACCACGGTTTGCCCAGAAAAGCCTCCGGACTGGGCACTTTGCGATCATGATGTCAGATTGTTTATGGGCCTGATATGATCATTTTTGGTTTAGCGCTACATCATTTCTAGTTTTATATATTTTCATTAGATCTTTGGGTATTGGATCAGATGTTAGCAGCTTCACATGTCTATTTATTGTTTACTTTCTGCATAAGAGCGCAAGTAGATTTTGTATATTATTTTTGAATATGAAGATTGATGATTGAAGTTGGCACAGAGTGACTTTTTATGATATTATACAGGTGAAACTCAAAAAATTAGAATATCGTGCAAAAGTTCATTTATTTCAGTAATACAACTTAAAAGGTGAAACTAATATATGAGATAGACTCCTTACATGCAAAGCAAGATAGTTCAAGCCGTGATTTGTCATAATTGTGATGATTATGGCTTACAGCTCATGAAAACCCCAAATCCACAATCTCAGAAAATTAGAATATTACATGCAATCAATAAAACAAGGATTGTACATAGCACAATATCGGACCTCTGAAAAGTATAAGCATGCATATGTACTCAGTACTTGGTTTGGGCCCCTTTTGCAGCAATTACTGCCTCAATGCGACGTGGCATGGAAGCTATCAGCCTGTGGCACTGCTGAGGTGTTATGGAAGACCAGGATGCTTCAATAGCGGCCTTCAGCTCTTCTGCATTGTTCGGTCTCATGTCTCTCATCTTTCTCTTGGCAATGCCCCATAGACTCTCTATGAGGTTCAGGTCAGGCGAGTTTGCTGGCCAATCAAGCACAGTAATCCCATGGTCATTGAACCAGGTTTTGGTGCTTTTGGCAGTGTGGGCAGGTGCCAAGTCCTGCTGGAAAATGAAGTCAGCATCCCCATAAAGCTCGTTTGTGGAAGGAAGCATGAAGTGTTGGTGCTCCAAAATCTCCTGGTAGACGGCTGCGTTGACCCTGGACTTAATGAAGCACAGTGGACCAACACCAGCAGATGACATGGCTCCCCAAATCAACACAGACTGTGGAAACTTCACACTGGACTTCAAGCATCTTGCAGTGTGTGCCTCTCCATTCTTCCTCCATTCTCTGGGTCCTTGGTTTCCAAATGAGATGCAAAAGTTGCTTTCATCAGAAAAGAGGACTTTGGACCACTGAGCAACAGACCAGGTCTGTTTTACTTTAGCCCAGGTAAGACACTTCTGACGTTATTTGTTGTTCAGGAGCAGCTTGACAAGAGGAATACGACATTTGAAGCCCATGTCCAGGATCCGTCTGTGTGTGGTGGCTCTTGATGCACTGACTCCAGCCCCAGTCCACTCCTTGTGAAAGTCCCCAACACTTTTGAATGGCTTTTTCCTGACAAAACTCTCCAGGCTGCAGTCATCCCTGCTGCTTGTGCACCTTTTTCTTCCACACTTTTCCCTTCCACATAACTTTCCATTAATGTGCTTTGATACAGAACTTTGGGAACATCCAACTTCTTTTGCAATTACCTTTTGAGGCTTTCCCTCCTTATGGAGGGTGTCAGTGATGATTTTCTGCACAACTGTCAGGTCAGCAGTCTTTCCCACGATTGTGATTCCTACTGAACCAGACTGAGAGACCATTTATTATACAGTGTTTTATAAAGGCTCAGGAACCTTTTGCAGGTGTTATGGCTTAATTAGCTGATTAGAGTGGGACACTTTGAGCCTAGAATATTGCACCTTTTCACAATATTCTCATTTTCTGAGATTGTGGATTTGGAGTTTTCATAAGCTGTAAGCCATAATCATCACAATTATGACAAATCACGGCATGAACTATCTTGCTTTGCATGTAATGAGTCTATTTCATATATTAGTTTTACCTTTTAAGGTGCATTTTTTTTTTATATATTTGTGTGATATATACTTTTAAGAATATTGGTATTAGCATATTCATATTCACAGTCCTTGAGCTTGTTTTGTTGTTTTTATTAAGGGGTTAACAACCTGGATGCAGCTTAGGGGTATATGAGATGCCTAAGGAACTACAAAACTTGAGGACAACTTCTTAGAAACTTTGTACAAAATGTGGACCAAAAAAGTAGCAACTGTCTCTTTAAGGAGCATTGATGTCCCCTTTGGTGCACCTCCTCAGACCTCAGATGAATTCTTTCTCTTTCACCCAGCTGCCCTGAAGGTATCCCTGGGCAAGGGATTCCAAGATCTGCACTTAAGTAGTCCCGGATGAAAAATAGTGTGGTATTGCACCTGACCGCCCTCTTCCTTCTCTGGTCCAGGGGGTGTAGAAGTACTCATAGTACTCACACTGTCCTTTCCTGTTAGCTTGATGGGTTTGTAGCTGTTTTCAGGCCTGATGCTTGGCTGGTTCCTTTGTGACTGACAGGATGTCCTCCCTAGGAGAGGGTGGTACAGTGGAGATCCTTCCACCCAGCACCAGCCTGTAAGTAAGACTCTCCTCCCTGGGTCCACACTGCAGCACCTTCCATCAGTCCTCTTCCACCCAACTCAACGCACTACCCCTGCTACACAGGCTCTACCACATTTAAGGGTTGCTCTTAGCCACCATGCCCAGCCTCCTGCTGGGTATTGGCCATGTTCCCCTAAACTTGCAAATCTGGGCCTCCTCCCCTCCTCCACCCCTCTTCCAGAAAGTTCCAGCAGTTTCTGGAAGGGTGGAAGAGCTCCAGAAGTCCTGACCTGTAGAGCCTCCCAGCCTGTACTGGGGTAACCTCTCTACCTCACTGCCAGACTTACTCATCCCAGGCTTCTAGCAAGCCTCTGCCTCACCGAAAAAAAAAAAATCCTATCTAGCTAAACCTAGAGGGTGCTACATTACAAATCCACAGTCTTGGTAACAGTATCCCACAAACACCTATAAGGTACTGCAAGTTGCTCTTTCAGTAACTCCCTTTATAACTTTGCCTGTTTCCTCGTTGTGGATTCTGTATGTAGAACATAAAGGAAGGGCCAACCAAACATTGCTACTGCCTACAACTGTCCCTTACTAAACCAAAGACTCTTCATTTCTGAGTCTGAGAAAAAGTCAGAGTCCCCAGTACAATGAGCCTGGAAATTGACTGGAGTAATGGTACTGCAGGATCAGTTAAAGGGCAAACATTTTTAAACCTACTACAGGACAATTTTATGGTACAGTTCATAGAGGCCCCAACTAGGAATGATGCTCTGCTGGACCTGGTAATCTCAAACCATGCAGAGCTTATTATGAATGTCCATATAAAGTAACATCTGGGTAGCAGTGACCATAACATGAATTAATTTATTTTTAGCTGTAAAGAGCAAGCACATACAGTAAAAATAAAAAACTCTCAATTTTAAGAGAGCTAATTTTCGAAGGTTGAGAGCTGTTCTCCAAGACTTAGACTGGGAGGGAATATTGGTATCAATGAACACAACACAGAAATGGGAGTTCTTCAAAAAGACTATATGTGAACACACTGCAAAATATATTTCCATGGGCAACAAGTTTAAAAGGCTAAAAATCAAATCTATGTGGCTTACGACCAAAGTTAAAAAAGCTATAGATGATAAGAAAAGTGCTTTTATTAAATATAAAAATGAAGGAATGCTATAATTGTTTAAATACTACAAAGAGTATAACAGAATATGCAAAAAGGAAATAAAAATTTAAAACGAATGACAGATTGCAAAAGATAGCAGGAACAACCCAAAAAAATTATTCAAATATATTATTAGTAAAAAGGTCCGCTCCGAGCATGTAGGCCCTTTACAAAATAATCTAGAGTGGGTGACAAAGGAGCATGGGGGAGCTCTTGTCCATAATGGGCAAGGTATTGACACAGCTCCAGATGATCCACATTGGCTCACAATTGATATGATCCAGAAATATTTAGACGGAATAAAGGTGAATAAAGCACCAGGACCAGATGGCATACATTCATGGGCCCTTAAAGAATTGAGCTCTGTCATTTCAAAGCCATTGTTTCCAATTTTTAGGGACTGTTTAATGACTGGCATAGTACCACTGGATTGGCGTAAGGCCAATGTGGTGCCAATATTTAAAAAGGGGTCAAAATTATAATTATAGACCTGTTAGTTTAACTTCTATAGTTGGGAAGCTACTGGAGAGTTTAATAAAAGACCACATAAATGAGTTTTTGCTGGTAAAAAATATTTTCAGCAACAGACAGCATGGATTCATGAAAGACAGAAGTTGTCAAACAAATCTGATTTCTTTATATGAGGAGGTGAGCAAAACCTTGGACAGAGGGATGGCGGTGGACGTGGTATACTTGGATTTTGCAAAAGCGTTTGACACAGTTCCCCACAAATGGCTAATGTGTAAGGTAAAGTCTACGGGCTTGGAAAAATCTGTATGTAAATGGATAAAAAACTGTCTTAAAGATAGTATTCAGAGAGTAGTGGGTAATTATTCATACTCTGAATGGTCTAGAGTTTGTCAGTGGTGTACCCCAAGGTTCAGTGTTGGGACCCTTACTTTTTAATATATTTATAAATGATATATTGTCTGGGATTATAAATACTATTTCAGTCTTTGCAGATGACACCAAGCTGTGCAGTGGAATAACGTCCTTACAGGATGTCTCCAACTTACAAGCTGACTTCAATGCACTGTTTAATTGAGCAACTATGTGGCAAATGAGGTTTAATGTTGATAAATGTAAGGTTATGCACTTGGGGGCTAAGAATATGCATGCATTATATACTGTATGCTAGGGGGGGTACAATTGGGGGAATCAATGGTGGAGAAGGATATGGAAGTTCTGGTAGATCACAAGCTTAATAAAGGCATGCAATGCCAAGCTGCGGTTTCTAAAGCAAGCAAAATCCTCTCTTGAATTAAAAGAGGTATAGACTCCAGAGAGAGAGATATCATATTACCTCTGTACAAATCATTAGTGATTCCAGATATTCACAGCTTTGAGCTGGGTTATATCATGACTGACATCATGCAAGTAAGTGTGCCATCATTACAAGACTGTTTGTGAAATAACCATACATATTGTAGCATTTTAACATTTTACACCAAATGGCATTATGATAGTGACACAGAATAGTAATAATGACAAGAATTTGTATTGTAACATTATAAAATTGACTTTGATATCACATTTTATTTCTAACACCACATACTGCACTTGTTTAGTCATTATTATACTGACTATGCCTTTCTATTGATATAGCATCATAAAATTGAATGCGATATCACAATGCTAATCATTATTATTTTTTATTATTATTATTATTATTATACAGGATTTATATAGCACCAACAATTTGCACAGAGCTTTACAAAACAAAGGCAGACATTAAAGTTACTATACAATTTGGTACAAGAGGAATCAGAGGGCCCTGCTTGGTAGAGCTTACAACCTAAGAGATGTACTGACTATGAGATCACAAAAATGACTGGCAGTACAATAGCCATGACAACACAATAATTTTTCTAATATCTTGATGGAAATATCCTAAAAGTGATAGTGAACTCATAGTACTATTTATGACTTAAAGATTGAATGGTAAATACACTATATTGCCAACATTGGGACTCCTGCCTTTGCACGCACATTAACTTTAGGAGTGTGTCTATGGGAAAATTTGACCATTCTTCCAGAAGTGCATTTGTGAGGTCAGGCACTGATATCGGACAAGAAGGCCTAGCTCACAGTCTCCACACTAATTCATCCCAAATGTGTTCTATCGGGTTGAGATCAGGACTGTGTGCAGGCCAGTCAAGTTCCTCCACCCCAAACTTCCTCATCCATGTCTATGGACCTTGCTTTGTGCATTGGTGCACAGTCATGCTGGAACAGGAAGGGGCCATCCCCAAACTGTTCACACTAAGTTGGGAGCATGAAATTTTCCAAAATATCTTGGTATGATGGCGCCTTAAAAGTTCCCTTCACTGGAACTAAGGGCCAAGCCCAACCCCTGGAAAACAACCGCACAGCATAATCCCCTCTCCACCAAACTATACACTTGGCACAATGCAGTCAGGCAAGTACCATTCTCCTGACAACTGCCAAATCCAGACATCCATCAGGTTGCCAGACAGAGATGCATGATTTGTCACTCCAGAGAACACGTCTCCACTGCTCTAGAGTCCCGCAATGGCATGCTGTACACCACTGAATCCATTGCTTTGCATTGCACTTGGTGATGTAAGGCTTAGATGCAGCTGCTCGGCCATGGAAATCCATTCCATGAAGCTCTCTATGCACTGTTGTGCTAATCTGAAGGCCCAATGAAGTTTGGAGGTCTTTGGCTATTGACTCTGCAGATCGTTGGCAACTTCTGTGCACTGTGTGATTCAGCATGCGCTGACCCTGCTCTGTCATTTTATATGGAGTTGCTGTTGTTCCCAGTTGCTTCCACTTTGTTATAATACCGCTAACAGTTGACCGTGGAATATTTAGTAGCAAGGAAATTTCACAGATGGACTTATTGCACAGGTGATAACCTATCACGGCACCACGCTTGAATTCACTGAGCTCCTGAGAGCGACCCATTCTTTCACAAATGTTTGTAGAAGCAGTCTGTATGCCTAGGTGCACAGGTATACACCTGTGGCCATGGAGGTGATTGGAACACCTGAATCCAATGATTTGGAGGGGTGTCCCAATACTTTAGGCAGTATAGTGTATGTGTTAAATACACCACATATGCTTCAAAATTATTAAAGGTGATTTAAGTCCTTCCCACTTCGTTTTTTACAGCAAATGTTTATATGTATATAGTTTTTAGAAATAGTGTATATAGATGCTTTTAGAGAAGGGAAAAAAAGTGAATAGTGTAGGGGGTATATAGTATATATTCAGGTTTAAAATAGTAGCTGGTGGAGGAGTGTAAGCCAATAGTGGAGTGCAGAGTGAAAAAGTAAATGTGGGGGACAGAAATGCAGCACTAAGGATGACAGAAAAGGGGGAAAAAGGCCTCTCCAATCTATATGTCCTTGTTGTTTAGGACCCTGGAATCACTCCAGGTGTATGTCACCAGAAGTGATGTATGTTACATGTTGCATCATATTTTTGTAAATGCTGCAGTCTTGCTGGAGATTCATCAGAGGTTTAGGACAGGGCTTAAAATTTCAAGTCCTGAGCTACTAGCCAGGCATTAGAGTTACTCGTCACCAACAAACACACACAAACAGAGACACCTGTACACACACACAGACATGTACATATACACACACAAACATGTACACACACGCACAGAGACACATGTACACACACACACATACAGACACATGTATACACACACAGGCACGTACAGACACGCATACACACAGATACATGTACATACACAGAAATACACACGCACAGACACAGGTACACACACACAGACACATGTACATACATACATAGACACATGTACACACACACATACATGTAAATACACGCAGACACATGTACAAATACACACATGTACATACACACAGACACATGTACAATTGTCCATGCGTACACAGAAACACACATGTACACGTACACACACCCCTCCCCCCCATAAAAAGTTGCAGTACTTCGTTGTTCACTCACAGATCCGGGTACTGCACTCTAGGGGGAGGCAGAGAGCACAGCATGCACTCCTTGCTTTGCTTTCAGTGCGCTCAGCTATTGAGCAGTCTGATGGCTCCCAGCGCCAATGACAGATCCAGCCTGAACTCCGAGCCTGCTCAGCAAGACGGCCCTGGGGGACACACTCGCCCCCACCATAATTTCCACTCGACATTGGCGAGCAGGCGGGTGGAAATTTCAAGCCCTGGTTTAGGATATGTTGCAGTGGTTTACAGTTAGACTGCACCTCTATTTATTCCATAACATTTTCAGTGTGTAAAGTCCTCTTTTGTAATTATAATTCTGCTGACTTTTAAAATCTTTGGCTGCACATTTAACATCTTTCTAGCATTTTTCTCTTGTCTTCTGTTTCTAATAGCTTGTTAAAGGAACTTGTTAGTCTGGAAAGCAAAACAACAGATTTACTTTAACTGCTTTAAGGCGGCCCCACACAGATATACTGCGGCAGGGCAGCAGTTCTGCACTGGGTACGTGATCCTGTTGGGGGGCGCATGTTGCCCAGACTATGCTGTGAATAGACACAGCAAAAGCTGATCAGCAGGTCCCATCCAATGATTGATGATCACTCCATGAATCACAGAACAGTGCCTAATGTTGATAAACAACATTCATTGTACACTGAGAAGCGATCCTGCTGTAACCACTTGCCTACTGGGCACTTATACCCTCTTCCTGCCCAGGCCAATTTTCAGCTTTCAGCACTGTCGCACTTTGAATGACATCAGCGTGGTCATGCAACACTGTACCCATATGACATTTTTATCATTTTTTTCACACAAATATAGTTTTCTTTTTTTGGTGTTTACTCGCCACTAGGTGTTTTATTTTTTGCGCTATAAACATAAAAGAGCAAAAAATTTGAAAAAAGTTTTTCTGTGTATCTATTATAACTAGAGATGAGCGAATCAAACATGGCGAAGTGGAATTCGTTTCGAAGATCAGGAAAAATTTGATTCGCGCCGAATCCGAAAATTAGCAAACTTCGGATGCACGAATCGAATTTTCCCAAAAATGGCGGCGACATGTGTGGCGACGGAGCGGGGATCTCTGGGAAGGCGCGCAGACAAGGCGCGCTGACCCATAATGCATTCATTCATGACATGTGATCGCATTAGCCAATCAGCAGCCAGCCAGCCAGCACTGTGTAATGGTGGAGCTATAAATTGCGGCCATCTTACAATTCTCCATTAGCCTCGGTCATTCAAGAGAGACAGACCTGTCTGTATTAGGGACAGAGTTAGGGCCAGAGAGACTTTAGGGCCACAGAATCGTTAGTTAGGGACACAGAATCGTTACTTAGGGACACAGAATCGTTACTCAGGGACACAGAATTGTTACTCAGGGACACAGAATTGTTACTCAGGGACAGACACAGAATTGTTACTCAGGGACACAGAATTGTTACTCAGGGACACAGAATTGTTAATGAGGGACACAGAATCGTTACTGAGGGACACAGAATTGTTACTCAGGGACACAGAATTGTTACTCAGGGACAGACACAGAATTGTTACTGAGGGACACAGAATTGTTACTCAGGGACAGACACAGAATTGTTACTCAGGGACACAGAATTGTTACTCAGGGACACAGAATTGATACTGAGGGACAAGAATTGTTACTCAGGGACACAGAATTGTTACTCAGGGACACAGAATTGTTACTCAGGGACAGACACAGAATTGTTACTCAGGGACACAGAATTGTTACTCAGGGACACAGAATTGTTACTGAGGGACACAGAATCGTTACTCAGGGACACAGAATTGTCACTACTCAGGACACAGAATTGTTACTCAGGGACACAGAATTGTTACTCAGGGAAACACAGAATTGTTACTCAGGGACACAGAATTGTTACTGAGGGGACACAGAATCGTTACTCAGGGACACAGAATTGTTACTCAGGGACACAGAATGGTTACTCAGGGACACAGAATGGTTACTCAGGGACACAGAATTGTTACTCAGGGACACAGAATCGTTACTCAGGGACACAGAATCGTTTACTCAGGGACACAGAATTGTTACTCAGGGACACAGAATCGTTACTCAGGGACACAGAATCGTTACTCAGGGACACAGAATTGTTACTCAGGGACACAGAATTGTTACTCAGGGACACAGAATTGTTACTGAGGGACACAGAATCGTTACTCAGGGAATCAGAATTACTCAGGGACACAGAATTGTTACTCAGGGACACAGAATTGTTACTCAGGGACACAGAATTGTTACTCAGGGACACAGAATTGTTACTCAGGGACACAGAATTGTTACTCAGGGACACAGAATTGTTACTCAGGGACACAGAATTGTTACTCAGGGACACAGAATTGTTACACAGGGACACAGAATTGTTACTTAGGGACACAGAATTGTTACTCAGGGACACAGAATCGTTACTGAGGGACACAGAATCGTTACTCAGGGACACAGAATCGTTACTCAGGGACACAGAATTGTTACTCAGGGACACAGAATTGTTACTGAGGGACACAGAATCGTTACTCAGGGACACAGAATTGTTACTCAGGGACACAGAATTGTTACTCAGGGACACAGAATTGTTACTCAGGGACAGACACAGAATTGTTACTCAGGGACACAGAATTGTTACTGGGACACAGAATTGTTACTCAGGGACACAGAATTGTTACTCAGGGACACAGAATTGTTACTGAGGGACACAGAATCGTTACTCAGGGACACAGAATCGTTACTCAGGGACACAGAATTGTTACTCAGGGACACAGAATCATTACTGAGGGACACAGAATCGTTACTCAGGGACACAGAATTGTTACTCAGGGACACAGAATCGTTACTGAGGGACACAGAATCGTTACTCAGGGACACAGAATCGTTACTCAGGGACACAGAATCGTTACTCAGGGACACAGAATTGTTACTCAGGGACAGACACAGAATTGTTACTCAGGGACACAGAATTGTTACTCAGGGACACAGAATTGTTACTCAGGGACACAGAATCGTTACTCAGGGACACAGAATCGTTACTCAGGGACACAGAATTGTTACTCAGGGACACAGAATTGTTACTCAGGGACACAGAATCGTTACTCAGGGACACAGAATCGTTACTCAGGACACAGAATCGTTACTCAGGGACACAGAATCGTTACTCAGGGACACAGAATTGTTACTGAGGGACACAGAATCGTTACTCAGGGACACAGAATCGTTACTCAGGGACACAGAATTGTTACTCAGGGACACAAAATCGTTACTCAGGGACACAGAATCGTTGAATTAAAGAGTATGTCAGACAACACGCAGAGGAGTGGCAGAGGAGGCAATGTTTCAGGAGCGAGCAGACGTGGCAGCAGAGGAAGGGGTCGAGGCAGCACTAGTCGCAGCCAGAGGCCAGTGCTCCCGGTGTCATCCAGCGGTCGTGTCTCCACCGACAACCCTGCCGTCATCGATTGGTTGGCTCGGTCGTCTTCCTCTTCCCAGGTCACCTCTGACACCTACAGCCAACGGTCGGTGGGTACGTCAGACACAACCGTTAGTTGGCATGGCCCGGGAGCAAGCCCACTGAAATCACGTGTCCTCTACCTGCCCCTGTCCTTTGGTGTTCCCTCACCAAGCGAAGTATCGCATGCTGTGGGCTCAGCCCCACTGTACAGTGAGGAAGAGCTAACAGAGGGCGGTCAGGAACGGGGGGAGACATCCGCCTCTTCAGCAGCCAGGCGAAGAAGTACTGGCGAGGAGAGTGGCTCGGTAGCCGGTCTAGAGACAGGTCTGTCTCCTGACCCACACGCAGCCGAGGGGGCTAGTAGTGAGGCGGAGACCCTAATTGATGATGATGAGGCTGATCGCACTTGGCAGCCTCGTCGTCATCAGGCTATTGCTTCCGCATCATCAGGAGAAGAGGGTGCCAGCTTGGCAGCGAGCAAAACAGTCGGTGGGTTGCCCAGGAGGCAGCAGGGTCGCAGCAGTGTCAGTGGAGGCAAACGGCCACGGAGTAGAGCACCAGCTCCACTGCAGCCTACCACCACGGCCAGTAGTGGTGCCGGTGTGCACGGAGGAAGTAGCAGTCAGCCAGTGAGGAGTAGCGGGGGCAAAGTTTCCTACTCGGCGGTGTGGCAATTTTTCGTCAAGCCGCCCGAGGAAGTAAACGTAGCCGTATGTCGACTATGTGTGGCCAGAAAGTCAAGCGTGGCCAGGGGGCCCATGTTGGGACTACAGCGTTGCGTCAGCATATGCAGCGTCGCCATTCGGTGGCCTGGGAAAACCGTGATAAAGATACGGCGGTTCTGCCTGCCCCAGCCCCCGCTCCATCACCCGCTCCGTTACTTGCTCCGTCACCCGACGTCAATCGCCCTCTATCAGCCAGTCAAGGCTCCAACACCTCTGCTGAGGGGAGTTGTCGCTCGTTGGCATCTTCCGCTCGTTCAGATGCTCCTTCTCCTGCTACTCCTCTTCACGGATTCCGTCAGCAGTCTTTCTTGGAATCCGTTTCCAAGAGACAACAGTTTGCGAGCACGCACCCCGACGGTGCAGAAGCTGAACGTCCTCCTGTCCAAGTTGCTGGTGCTGCAGTCCCTCCCTTTCCAAGTGGTGGACTCAGCACCTTTCCGAGAAATGATGGCTTGTGCCGCGCCGCGGTGGAGAGTGCCAAGCCGGCATTTCTTCGCCAAAAAGGCAGTGCCAGCCCTGCATTCACATGTAGAAGAGATGGTGGGCCAGTCTTTGAGCATGTCGGTCTCTGCCAAAGTGCACGGCAGCGCCGACGTGTGGAGCTGTAACTACGGTCAGGGACAGTACATGTCATTTACGGCCCACTGGGTGAACGTGGGTGTGCCGGCACAGCCGCACCAGCAACTTGGACAGGTCACGCCGCTTTTGCCTCCACGTTTGCACGTCCTTGGTCCAGCAAAGATGTCCGCCTCTACCACCTCTTCTTCCGCCGTGTCCTCAGCCGCCACCCCCGTGCCAAGTCCCATTACCCGACCGGCATATCACATGTGCAGGGCGCAACGGTGTCACGCTGTGCTGCACCTGGTATGCCTTGGCGAACGTAGTCACACAGGGGAGGAACTTCTGAGTGTAATGAACAGAGAAATCGACAGATGGCTGTCTCCGCGCAAACTGAAAATCGGAACCATGTTGACCGACAACGGAAAGAACATGGTGTCTGCTCTGCGTCAAGGAAGGTTGTGCCATGC